TGCCTTCATGCCTCAGCCCTTTCCTTCCCTCCTGTCTACTAGGTGAACTCACTTTCAGAGCAGAATTCAAAGAGGTCTTCTGTGAGACCTTCCCTAGGACTCTGCCTATGCTCTTTGCTTCCATGAGACGTGTGTGTGTGTGTGTGTGTGTGTGTGTGTGTGTGTGTATGTGGGCTCATTATACTGCTTCTAGCTTTGCCACAGTTCTTTTGTTATGATTATGGGTGCATAGTTTTGCCTATCAGATCATAATCTTGAAGAGGCAGAAGCTGAGTGTCATAGAGACTCATATGGAGTCTGGAGGGGTCAAACGGTGACAAAGTGATCGGTACAATGACTGGCTTCATGAGAACCTTTTTCTGAAACCAAAGGGAGGAAACAAAAAACAGAGACAAAGAAGCCACCCAAAGAGAAGAGCACAGGGAGGGGTGGATTTTTTTTCTCATGCTAGATGTGTGCAGTCTGTTGTGGGCTGGTGTGAAGGGGCTCCTGTCTCGGCAAAGAAACATGGCCTTGTTTCCACCTAGATTCAGGCTGAGTGGTTTTACCTTATGCCATGGTCCATCAGCCCAGCAGAGGAAAACTAGAGTCATCAGCCTGAAGGAAGAGCAGAGAGAGGCTTGCTCTGGAGTGGGTGTAGAGGTTTAAGATTAGCTGAGGACAGTTTGGAGTTGTTCCAGTTGAAGCACTATGGCAGCCATGCAGTCCTCCGCCTGGTGACAGAGGTGGTGGATTGAAGCATGGCTGCCATGCAGTCCTCAGCCTGGTGACAGGGGTGGTGGATTGAAGCATGGGACTCCATTCTTGTTCTGGTTAGCATCCTGCATTAAAGTGAGTCTATGGGTCCCGCTTTTTCCTGGTAGTCTGTATAGCCAGTGGAGGATGACACAAAGCACGGCCTACTAGGAGGCCTGTCCTGGTAGGAGCAGAGCCTTGGCCCTGGATCCTTCATACCCCAGGGGTCAGCTCCTGACAGATAACAAAAGATAACAAAAGAGACAGAACAAGGATGAAGAGCAGGAAAAGATTTCCTAAGTGTGGCGCCAGTGGGGAAGAGGAACAGAGGTCAGACAGACCACATCCCCCTCCTCTGGCCAAATCCATCTTTTCTGGGTCTTAACATGAAGCTTAGCTTTAAATGCAGTGCAAGCCAAAGGCATGCAGAGCTAAGCAGTCCTAAGTATGGTCCTGTCCTTCCTCACTGCCTGGGCTGTAGTACTTCCTTCAAGGTGGTCTGACGAGCTGTCAGTATTCCATGAAGTTTCTTTCTGAGAGACAAGAAGTTTCTCCTCTGCCTGGCACCATTTCTAGTCTAATCCTTCTCCCAGTACAGGATTTCCAGGGAAACTCCAGTTCCATGGGGTCTATTATTCTAGTAGTTCAATATCTAAAGGGAGGGGCACAATTGTCTCTTTGGGAAATCTTCATTCCTGCCAGGGTAGTTACACTATTTGGGCTTTTTCTGTTCTAGACCATTGGCCTAATCTTGTTGTGTCATTTCATCATCTGTGAAGCATCCTTAACAACCAGTATCAGACGACGCCTCAAAATAACAAGAATTGCAGCAGAGTTGACAGGAACTGAGAATGGTTTAAGGAAAAACTGAATCAACTGAAGAGAGGCTAAAAGGCCAGCTGGTACTACAGGAACAATCCAGAGTGGCTACTATCACCAAGGGAAGGATACCATCCCTCCCCCAGTTCCTACCCAAGAGCCCTTGCTGTTGGATACCCACTGTTTTTATTGCTATGAACAATTCTAAATCTGTCTCTAAATTTGTCACTCATGGGAGAGTCAGAGTTCTGAGAGAAGTGGGAAGGGAGTGGAGCCCAAGACCTATGACCAGCTCTGGCTTCTCCAAGCAGAGAGGAGCTAGATGCTTCCCTCTGTCAGCTTCCCTCCTTTCATCAGAGATACACAGAATAGGGGCTTTCTTAGCAGAAAGGAGGTTTAGATGATGATGGCAAATGAGACACAGCAAAATGTCTGTCAGGCTTCAGTCCTTTTCTCCTCTCAGACTGGTGCTCCTTCTGGTTGCTCCATTTTGCTGGCTTGTCAACCATGATCACAGTCTCTGGTTCACACCTGAAACTTCAGAACCAGCTTCTTCTCGTCATGAATAGCTCTGCACAGATTTGCCTCCCCCCGCACCCCGTCACCATTACTGTGTTAGAAAGATTACCTTGGCAACAGCACAGAGGAGAGAAAAGACTGGAAACTGGGACTCGGTCTTCTGAATTTGAGAGGTGGAGGAGGCGACTGAATGTGTCCATTGCAGTAGTCTCCCTAACAGTCCAGTGGTAGACTCCCACAGCGTTAAAAACGAGTATCCCATAGATCTTGCTTTCCTTTGTCTCAGCTTTTGGCATCCGGATATCTGAGGCAACACCTTGGCTGTCGTATGCCCGTGTGCATATACTTGTGTGGTGCATCCCAGGCTGAGAACCACTGCGTTCTAGTACATTTATTTTAAAGCTGAGGAGACTGAGGGCAGAAAGAAGGAAGCAAGCCAATGAAAAGGACCAGGAACAAGATCAGAGCTGGCATCTGATCTTGAGTAAGTGATACTCAGATCACTTACTTTTCTTTGTGGAAAAGGAAATTTTCTGTTTTTCTTTGTGTTCAAGAAAGCAAGCTACACTGTTCTAGACTAGCAGTGAACAGGCCCTTCAGACTGCAGGCCTACTGAGTGACTAGCAGTGAACAGGCCCTTCAGACTGCAGGTCTACTGAGTGACTAGCAGTGAGCAGACCCCTCAGTCTGCAAGCCTACTGAGTGACTAGCAGTGAACAGGCCCTTCAGATTGCAGTCCTACTGAGTGACCAGCTCACAAGAAGCAGCTGTTTCTAATGATGGCTGCTTTCTGTCTAAGTTTCACCATGCTGTGCTGAAACACCATGACCAAAGGCAGTTTTGAGAGGAAAGCCTTTATATGGTTTATATACCCTGAATTACAATCCATTGAGGAAGCTAAGTCAGGAACTCAAACTGGGCAGGAACCCAGAAGCAGGAGCTGCTGCAGAGGCCATGAAGAATGCTGCTTGCTGGCTTGCTCTTCATAGCTTGCGCAGCCTGCTCTTTTATAGAACCCAGGATCATCAGGTCAGGGTCATACTACTCACAACGCGCCAGGCTCTCTCCCTTCAATCACTGATTGAGAAAATGCTCTACAGGCTTGCCTAGAGCCTGATCTTATGGAGGCAATTCTTCAACTGAGGTCCTCTCCTATCAGATGACTCTAGCTTCTGTCAGGTTGACATAAAACTAGCTAGCATACTCTCCGTAAGTCTTCCTTGTCGGAACCAGGTAAAATGTCCCTGGGTAGGAAGTGAGGAAGTGCCATAGCCCAGCCAAGAGCACACTTCTGTGTCTGGAAGTATTTTGTCTGTCTGGGCCTTAGTCTGGGCCTCTGACTCTCTGGACACGACGTTTTGTTACTCACTGACCCTTTGTCAGTTGCTGTCTGTCCTTTAACTACCAGGCTCTCATCCTGAGACTCCATGGCTCCCTCCCTCCCCCCTTCTCTGGCTTCTGATGTGGATTAATCACTCAGTTTTGAATTGATTACCACCAACTGTGGACATTCTCATGGCAACCTGGAGCTTCTAGATGCTTTCTTCTACATAAAGTTGCTTAAAAATAATGCCTTTACAAAATCTCTGCTTTTTCCATAAAGATAACATCTTGGTCCAAATGTACCTTAAGGAAAACAAAAACAAAAACAAAAAACAACAACAACAAAAAACAACCAAAAAACAACAGCCTGCGACCTGTTGTAGTAGAGCCATCTTTCCGTCAGGGGGAGCCATTCATTTTCCTAAATCCTCTGTATCCAGAAGGGGAAATCACAACAAACTCTGAACACCTCTCCCTGGCTAAAACAATGATGTGGTCAGAGCTGACTGGTAGGAATGAACCATGGAATAAAGCTTATCAGAAGTGGGGTTGTGTGATGGGAGGTCAGTCTGCAGAAGCCGCTGCTGCCAGCTCGATGAGAGGCGGCGAGAAAGAAATCATGCAGTGGGCCTAAGGAGTGAAGAAGTGGGTGGGAACAGGCTGGAAATAGAGCCATTTTGGCCAGAAAATGACAAGACTGTAAGTTAAAGATGCCTGGGCTGGGAGCTTGAGGACCTGTGGAGTCGGTTCTGTGAATAGAATGTGGGACTAAGAAGGGTTGTTTTGAAATGAGGGAAACATTAGGTTTGTGCACAGAGGATGCAGATATCCAAGGATGTTTCCATAATGATCAATTCAGTAACTCTGAACAGCAGATATTAGTGTGGGCTTTCATGTGGAAGAAACAGGAGACCAGGGAATCAAATAGACTGAGAAAAGAAAAGGCACAAGCTTACAAGAGTGTCTACATTTAAGTATCAAACACGGAAGTAATCTGAGGAGCGGGATGTGTGTATAAGTGAGAAATAAAGTATGCTTTTGCCCCAGTCAAGGGAGGGGACTTCATAAAGGTATGAGGAGAGAGAGAGAAAGAGAGAGAGAAAGAGGGGGGGGGGGGGGGGAGGGGGGGGGAGGGAGGATGAGATGAGGGCTGGCTAGGTTGTTATTTTAACAGTCACTCAACACTTTCGGTCATGGTAGGCCTCATTTTAATCACAACAAGCTGTCGTGGTCCCGAGGAGAAAGCCCTCACCAAATGAAGTACTTTGACAAGTTTCTGGATAGCTCACATTTATAGCTCACTTTATAAAGCTCAGGGTCGCTCAGAATTTCCAAATAAATTCTTTCAGTTTGCAGTCTTTCTAGATTCATTGCCAGAAACTGCAAAAGCTGGAGGGCGGGCTGAAGACCGGATATATAAAGAATAATCATTAAATATTAATGAGCAGTCTCCTCCTACTAAACTAGAGGTTCTAGGAGAAATATCCCCTGGCCGACTAGGTCCCCGCCCCCTCATGCATATGCAGATAGCTGTCCACCGCGCACTGCCCCGCCCTCTACTCCTCTCCCAGCGCAACGGACTCTCCCTTCAAACGAGAAACAAGATGGCGGCGGCAGGTCCGAGCACTCGGGCTTCTTCCGCGGCGGCCGCGGCAGCTCTGAGTCGGCGGGGCCGGCGGGGCCGCTGTGACGAGATGGCGGCAGCGAAACCCGGGGTTCCGGGCCCGGCCTCTAGCCCCGCGTTGTTAGTGTTGCGGCCAGCGCCACGGCCGGAGGAGTCGGGCTGCACCGGGTGCCTGGAGACCCCGGGGGAAGTGGCGGCCCTGCAGTGCAGCCACTCGCGGTGCCGAGGCTGCGCCTCTCGCGCGGTGGGCCCGGGCTGCCGTCGCTGCCGTCCCCGCGGCTCGGGCTGGGCCCGCCGTCGGGCCCGTGACGACGGCCAGGCCGCCGCGAAGCTGATGGGCGAGCGCGCCCGTCGCGGACAGCCGGAGCGCTGCCGCCCGCGCCGGGACGGGGGCGCGGCTGCCTCGGGGTCCAGGCCGGAGCCGGAGCCGCTCGCGGAGCCAGGTGGAGCCTCCCCTCGCCCCCGTGGGGTCCAGCTAGGCCCAGCCACCGGGTCTGGCCTGGTGAGCGGGGTGGAGGGTCCCGGGCCCTACCGGAGCGGGTGCGGAGAGTTCTCCTGGGGTCGCGACCGGGTTCTGCCCTGGCGCAGTATGTGTTGGTTAATGTTGAACTTTGGAGCGAACTGCGGGCGTGTTGAATTTGGAGGGGCAGTGAGGGGACCCCGCGCCTTGCGTAAGTCAGAAGTTTGGAAGGAAACACTTCTTGGAACAAGTTAGGGGCATGTTGAAGTTGGTGCGTGGAGGGGGAGGGGCCCTGGAGGAGGATCCCAGAAGCGCTTGTTTCAGTGTTGGGCGGAGGGCTTGGGGTCGCATTCTAGGAAAGATGTGTCTTCCAGGGCTGTAGAGGATGAGGTGTGGGGTATCCTAGGCTCAGGGGGAGCTTTGCAGACTTGAAAGCAGAATGGCTTTTGAGGATGAGCTCGCGTGTGAAGTTCTTCTCATGCAATTTTGAAAAAAAAATACATGCTTAGTGCAGAGAGCTTGGCGCTTAGTGAGGATGAGAGAAATGCCATCTATACTGTGATAATACTAACCACAAACGTCAGTAGTGCTTGATGAAAAAAGCTGGGTGGGACTTAAGTTTTGGAGATGAAGATTGGTTGGCTGGGGGCTGTTTTCTGTAAGTTTCGTCTATCATGCTGGCAATTTAAAGGTCTGTTGTTGGATTTTTGGCCTGAACTCCTTTTCCTTTCTCACCATCACTTGTTGGTGCTGAAGTCTGAGATAGAAGATTCCGTTTGTAACGCGAACCAAGACCTAAGCTTCTTTGGTGCATGCCTAGGCAGCATACCTACAGCTGAGATTTTCAAGAACTGTAAATCAGGAAAAGGCATTTGTTAGTCCTTTTATGTTAGGAATTCTGCCTTACGTTTTTTTCAGCAGAGGGAAGGCATTGCTTTGTGTGTATGAAAGTGCAGTTCCTAGAAACTACAGGGTCCAGAATGCATCTGTTTTTGGTTCAAGCAGAGACACCTGCCAAAGACACCTTGCTTTTCAGTCTAAGAGCTGAGTCTGCATTTTACTTTCTGTGTTTTTTGTAATTCCTTCTAAAAACATCACAGTGATCTTGGTTGTGTCTTTATTTCTCTTTTATAGATGAGACTGAAGCCCAAAGAGATCAACTAACTTGTCTAATGATGAAAGTACAATTTCATCTGATTTTCTCACTTTAGTTTGCTTTAATTTCTGAGACTATAAATATAAGCACTTTCTCTGTTCTCCTTACTAACTACATTGACAGTATGGTCAAATAGGATAGCAGTTTCTCTATATCTCTTGGAACCGTTGTGAAACATCCGCCTTGAAATTTGAACTATGTGAAGGAATGTATTGCTTATTGATTTGTGTAAACTTTCCCATTAAAGAAATTTGTTTTCATAAAGGATAGGCTTATGTGATTCAGGTCATTTACCTAAAATGAGAGTCCATAGGATTTATTAAGTTATTTAATACCTTTCAGTTATATGTGAGTCATAATAAAAAGTATTTTTCCTAAATTTCCTTTTTGGATCATTGAGTATATGCAATCATGTTTATCCAGCTAAATAATTTTAGAAGAATAGAAAATACTACTGAACCAGTCATGGTGATGCAAACGTGCACTCTCAGTATTTGAGAAGTGGACTCAGGAGGGACAGAAATTCAAGGTTGTTGGCTACATGTGAAGCCATTTAAAAAACAAAACTTAAAAAAAGGAATTGCTGAATAGGGCTTGGAAACTCTTGTTTAGCCTTGGTGGGTATTTACTGAAGTTACACACAATATATTTTAATTAAAACAGCAGGGGTGGGGCAGCAAGAGGTCACCAACAGTGCCAAGCCTGACAGCTTGAGTTCAATTCCGGGACTCACATAGTAAAGGGAGAGAGCTAAAAGCTGAAAAGTTGTCCTTTGACCTCCACATGTGTGTAGTGGTGTGTGAACATACCTCCCAAAATAAATAAATAAATAAAAATGTAATAAAATTCGTTGAGTGTGATAGGGCAATCCCAGTATTTGGGAGGTAGAGACTAGAGTATAAATTCAAGATCTTCCTTGAGTACATAATAAAATCTAGGCCAGTCTGGGCTACAGGAGGCTCTGTCTCAACAGAACAAAAGCAAACTCAACAACCTTGTATCACTGTGCTTGTGTGTGTGCGCGAGTGACCATGTGACTGCTTCTTACCAAAAATGGCCAGAAGAGGGTGTCAAATTCCCTGAATTAGTGTCATAGATTTTTGGGAACTGATAGGTGGGTACTGGGAACTGAACTTGGGTCCTCTGGAAGAGTAGCTAGTGCTCTTAAGCACTGAGTCATCTCTCTAGACCCATAATTTTTAAGAAGTTGTTTTGTAGCTGTGCATTTCCATGGAGAAGTCACCCACAGCTTGAACAGATTTTCAAAGAGTTTTCTATAGAAAAGAGGTTAAGGACTGCTCTGTTCTGGGCCCTCATTGTTGCAGAGAAACCCGAAGTGGAGGTAAGAACTACTAGTTACAAGTGCAGTGAGGAAATAGATAAACAAAAGCTAAAAGTCAAAACACAGACTCTGGACAGGGAAAGGTTCATGTTGACTTTGTTTTGGTGTTTGATAAGATCTGACAGTAGAGTCCAGGAGCCTGAGCTATTCTCTTGCCTGAGTTTCCTGAGTGTTGATCTTGGAGGTGTGAGCTACGGTCCTGGCTCATGATGGCTGTTAATGGCAGAAGCTGAACGTTTGCATTGTGACTTCACGAATAGAAACCGCAGCAGCAGGAGATCATTTGTAGGAACCCTAGTAAGTGTATCTCTTGGTGGATTCTTACAGTACAGTTAGTCACCAAAGGAAGGCAAAGGGTTGGCAAGCTTTGTGAAACTGGAAAGGAAGTTGTCTCAGGTGCATTGCTGTTTAAGTGAGAGTCTGTTGTGTTTGCGTGCTTGCGTATTTATTTGAGGCTAGCTTGTATTCTGTTGCAGAGGCTGGTTTTGAACTCATGCTGTCCTGTGGTCCTCCCACTTCATCTCCCTGCATATACTCTGCAGTGCTTACTGTTTGTGTTTTGAGACAGGCCCTTGCTGTGGATCCCAACAGGCAGTAAACTTCAGGCCTTCCACCCTTAGTCTCCCAGCTGTGGGATGAAGCATGTGCCACCATGCACAGCTTATTTATTTTTCAAAAAGATTTCAAATGCAATGTCTCTTTTAGGATTGTCTGTGAAAAAAAAAAAGTATAGTTTGTGCTTGTTGAAAATTTTGGTTGTGTTTTTGACATTTTTGTGGCTTGAAATTTATTTAATTTGAGACAGGGTATCACTGTGTATCCCAGGCTAGCCTCACTTACAGCAACCCCTCAGCTGGCATTACAGGCATGCACCACCACACCTGGCTTATTAGTTTTGTTGATCTGCGAAACCCTGTGTGTGAAGGCTACAGCAGTGACAATATCAAGGCTGGCTCCACGCTGAACTTCACATCCTTTGAGGCTGTGCAGATCCTTGTTTGTGTCTTGAACACTATGCAGAGGTTATAATGAATAGCTACATTTTTTATAAGCATTTTTCAGCAAACAAAATATTATAAAGCTCTTTCTCATGCAATTTTTATTCTAAATATAAAGGCATTCTAATGTGTTGATTTTAAAAATATTCACTACACAGGTGTGAATAGTTTTAGAACTATACATAATAATTATATTTACATCATATTGAAAATGATTAAAGAATTTTGATTTAAAGCCAAAAGAGATTCTAAATTATAGTGTCTTTGATCTTGAAAATGGAACTTTTTAGCCTTTAGGATAATTCTTTTTTCTTCCACTATAGGTAATGATTAAAGTAATAAGGTTGACAAAGGCTGATAACAATTTTAAGTCGGTAGACTTTTTTTTTGTCTTAAAATCAAATTTCAAAAATGTAGATAAAAAGGTTTTTAGTTTATCCTTCCTTTTTGTCTCACAGTCACCCCACACAAACATCTCTGTTCACACTTCCTGTTCACTTATGATTGACATGCATTTTAAACATTTGTTTTCTGTAAAAAGCAAATAGTTCTGGTAGATTACTCAGTTGTCAGACAATGTCTGCTAAGTGTGTTGCCTAAATTAGGTTTAGGATTAGTGCATAATGAAGTTATGTGATTGTATAGAAGGACGGGGTTTCTCTGGTCTTTAAGGACTTGTTTCCGACTATATGAGGTGGCTCATCCTTTCTCCTCATTGACAAAATAGGCGTGTCCTTTTGAGTTGCAGTAAGGCAGATACCATGTGTCTCACACTTGCTTATGTGCTTTACAAAACTCTAGTTGAGATTACCTCATCATCTGTTTATCACGGAAATGAATTACCACCGAAGGAATTGCTCTGCTCTTTGGATTCAAACTGAACAGCAGGAATGCAGGGGGTATCTGCTTCCTTCCTCTCTTACTTTTGCTCCCTGACACCCACTTAATTTAGAAGAGTTGCCCACCTTAAGTTCATTTATATGAAACTTTGCTTGAGAATATGAAAATCCATTTTAGTCACATTTTATTTGATTAATATAATGAGTATTTGGTTCCTATTGGTTCTGACACAGTGTCCAGGAGAGGGTGGACGGTCAGGGACAGACTTGCTGGGCAATGGTGGACTTCGGATGCCCTGTCAAAGGGTGAGGATGCACCAAAGAATTCCAAAGAGGCTCCGACTTTGGCACTTCAGAGGCTCTCTGATGGGGTTCTGTTGCACATGTGTTGGAAACCCCAGTTGTCTTTGAAAGCTGGTAGACTGCACATAAGCAGACAAACAGGGAGTACAGAACAGTGACTTCACACATCCCGAGGCTGCTGGGAGGCAGTGGTCAATAGACATGGAGCTGTCTAAGCTGGTCAGCCCTTGTGCTCATGCTGTTTTACCCTGTAGTAGGCTCAAGTACCCAGTGAACCCTGAGTGAGTGAGGAGGTTCTGTTTTCCTCTTCTGGGGTTGAGCTCAGCCATGTGCAAGAGGCAAAGA